AATAACTTTCGCAACACTCATGTTTGGTCAGTAGAAAATCCGCACGCTGTCCGTCGGGCACATTTTCAACAAACATTTTCGGTGAATGTTTGGGCTGGCATGGTGAACGGTATGCTCATTGGACCATTTATTCTCCCAAATCGATTGGACGGGATGCAATACCTAGACTTTTTACGCAACAGTTTGCCTTCCTTGTTAGAAGATGTGCCATTAAGTGTAAGACAATCAATGTGGTTCTGCACGATGTTGCACCGCCCCATTTTAGACGCGAAGTGCGTGAGTTTTTGAATGAATTATTTCCGAATAGGTGGATCGGACTTAATGGACCCGTAGCGTGGCCTCCGCGATCTACAGACTTAACACCATGTGATTTTTTTCTTTGGGGAGAAATAAAACGCTTAGTGTACAAAACTGAAGTGCATACGGTTGACGAACTTCGTCTCAGAATTGAACAAGCTGGTGCTTTCATTCGGGGGAGGGACTCCATTCTCAAAGCCTGCACCGATGCTTGGCTACGTCGTGCACGCACCTGTGTTTTTGAATCAAACGGCGATAACTTCGAATAATACCTATAAAGTACGTTTACCGAAAAACTGAAAACGCGGCAACGCCGTCATATTTGTTACCTCTGTTCGTGGTCTGCACCACCCCCTGCGTCTGCTCGGTAGCGCATCAGCTGATTTCATCTTCTGTTGGAGCGGTATGATTTCGGGCAGAGACGTACTTAGCCCTTCTCGTCAACTGGAGAGTGAGTGCTTTTTCCTTTATTTTTTTTTACTTGGTCGCCCTCGTTTCACTACACATTACCTTTGTTATTTCAAGGGTAGTTGTTTCTGAAAAGGAAAACCCCAACTTTGCGGACACCCTGTATAATTTTCAAAATGCTAGGCTTCTGGCCAACACTGCTATTCATATTGAATCTGGATCTTTTTATCTTTGCTTGTCTCTTAAAGTGGAAGAGCAGGACAGGGGGTTGCTGGACGTGAGCAGCGCTTCTGAATGCGAATGCTTCATCGCAAATAGAGAGTGAAAAAGAGGAACACCAGAGCGTCTTGAGGGCACTTCAAACATTCCAAAATAATGGGAAAAATGAGGATTACGGGAAGGATGAAAATTCTAAAAAAAGAATTAAATTTCAAATGAGTAGCTGAAAACAGACAGCAAAAATGAGTGAGACGAGTCCGTGGACATCCTACATGGCCCTCGACATAACTTTTTTCTGCATGCGCTAGTGGCAAAGTTGGACTCTGACTAGGTATATTGATGTTTTAACTTTCACGAGTATACCCATCATATACCCAACAGAGTTTTCTAGTAACGCAATAAAAAAGGCAATACAAAAATCATTGGACACCGCAGTTCAGTCTTGTGGTTTGTTTATTGATCGCACAGATCCATTTCTGGCAGCATCGCCTCCATCTACCTATTACAGTAGACAAGAAATGTACTTAATCCACGTGTAAGCCTACTTGTTTATTGCATTGCAAGAACCACTTAACTGTTTCCTCTTATTTTAACTGCATAAGATATTTTTTTGACTCTCATTCAATTGTTACCATATGTACCACATGACCCTTGTAAACATAATTGTGTTTACTGACATGAATAAAAGAATTGTAATTTGAGTTCTTGAATTTATTTTAGGAAAGACATCGAATTATTTGAATACATTTTTTCTTAGTCGGAACGCGCCGTCGCGTCGCTTGGACTGGCAGGACGAAACAGCAGACGAATTTCGCCCAAAAACCGATTTGCACTTCACAGCTCACGTTTCATTTTTTATTTCCAAATGAAACTCTTGCAGCATGCTAAAAACAAAGTCCACAGGGTGCTAACGATCCACTTTTACGATTTTATCCACTAGGATCTTTTTAAAATATCAAGAAGTTGAGCACAAATTCGATAGCAAGCATTTCAAAACACCATAATTCTTGCGCAAAGACAAAATTTTGTAAAACGCTCTGATAGCACCTTAGGCAATTATGTCCTGCTTATATCCAGAAAAATACAGAACACAAATTGAACGTAACGGCGAAATGGGTGCATTTCACTGCTCATGAAATTCAAATGAAAATGCAGGTATAAAATCTACCAAATTATCGTTCTCAAAAACATATTTCCTTGACATATCGATAATTTTAAAGTTCCACGCTAAATTCCCGTATACTTGACTGGAGTGATATCCGAATTCATTCTTCCCTACTGACGGCAGTTGCAGATAGATCTGTTGGCTCTTGGTGTCAAACCTATAGCGCAGGTACCGATTTTTTCAAATCGTTAGCACATTATTCGTTACTTAAATTTCCTGTAATCACTGGGATCAGAAGCTTCTTAATAATAGGACGTGTTTCACTGATATCAAAGATGCAACATTCAGAATCACCTTCCCCCAACCCCCACTTTTTAAGCAGTAGAATTTTTTTCTGTCAATGATAAGGAACCCCTGTAACGTCAAAACGGAATTCCAGCAATAGTTCCTTTTTCTTTTTTGCCTATAGCACCGTTGCCACTGGACTAAAACTACAAAGCTTTGGCATACTAGTAACTCCGTGTGGAAATTTCATAAAAATCCGAGCGGTTATTTCCAAGTTGATGAGTGATACAGTTTTTCGTGATGTAGATCTCATATCACTTAAAAAACATAACATTTCATTTTAAAAATGTTTCGCGATTACAATACTTCCTCGCCAATGACGCGGGAAGTAAAACGGCTTTAAAATCCAGGAGCATCATCGATCGCGATAACACATAGCACACAAATTGTTCGCACTATTTCCACAATTTCTAGGCATTGTGCATAAAGATAGTCTCGATCACAATAAACTAGAAACAACACACCGTTTTAACAAAAATTAACAGTACTCAGAACAACTCAGTACTCTTCAACACAGAAAACGTAACTGACTCGGCTGCTATTAGTCTACTAATGCTCTCTAAACATAGAGCTCGCATATAATAAACAGGAATAGACACGTCTTAACATTATATATGTGCGTCATCGCATAAACGCCGAGAAATGCAGCAATATGAGATGTTGCCTATTGTAATTCATAAAAGTAGATGTTTCCGAATATCCATGGGTGAAGAATTCTGTTTTTAGATTTGATTTGAGGGTCTCAAAATACATAAGGATCACCCAAAAATTGTGACATGTCACTGATCCTGTGTTATCAGTGTAATCTGAAAATACGCATTGTAATTCATAGGCAAACGAATCCAAGCGTGACATGTTTAGCTTAGATAAAAATGCAATAATGCAAAAAGTTTCCGTATAATAAATTTCTAATTCAGCTATTATATATCCAATTACTCATGAGTCACTAGTAGCCTTGCGGTTCAGCAGCATAAATTACATTGCATTAATTGATGGAATAACTTACGAGTATTATTTAACTTGGTACATTAGATTAATGATGGATTTTACATGTCACACATTATAGTGAAACTAAATTCACGTGTTGAGAAGCATCATAGGAAACTCCTACCTATTTCATGATGAGCTCTGAAATATCTACAACTAGCTGGTAAAACCGCAACTGTAAATAACAAGTGAAAAAATTTTCAGCCTTATCAGTTGGACATTCCGGTTTTTATACTGCTTTTTTTTAATTCACTAACGCTCTAAAAATGAATATTTCAGCCGCAGTAAAGAATCAACGTTGGCGGATTTTGGTTCTTGACATCCTTTACGATCGGTTACGATGCCTAGAGTACGGAGACCTGTACGATTTCGTCAACTTAGTGAGTTTGATAGGGGCCGTATAGTGGGACTTCGGGAAGCTGGACTTTCTTTTCGGGCAATTGCAGTTAGAGTGCAAAGAAGTGTAGACACTGTGGCTAGGTGTTGTCAGGCATGGCTTCGAGAATGCCGTACGCAAAGAGCAAGGGGCACTGAACGCCGCCGTAGAACAACAGACCGTGAAGATCGCCGCCTAAGATTATTGGCCTTAAGGGACCGTTTCTCCACTACCAGGTCCATTGCAAATGAATGGTTTGCAGAACACGGAAGACCTATTGGCATGCGAAGTGTTTACCGACGAATGAGAAGTTTTGGCTTGTTTTCATACCGGCCACACTGGGTCCTCCCTTTCAACTCGTGAACACCGACGTAATCGCCTTGAGTGGTGCAGACAACGGTCACTCTGGGATCAGGAATGGAACAGTATTGTCTTTAGTGACGAGTCTCGATTTTGTTTAGGCATGCACGATGGTCGTGCCAGGGTTAGAAGGCGTCGTGGTGAAAGGAGGAATCCACAGTTTTTTGTTGAAAGACATGTTAATCACACTGTTGGAGTTATGGTTTGGGGTGCTCTGGCTTATAGTTCCAGGTCAGCTTTAATCTTCATCAGAGGTAACATGAACGCGCAGCGTTATATCCACGAAGTTCTAGAACCCCATCTTTTACCCTGGCAGATCCAACTTTCCAACAAGATAATGCCCGACCACATGTTGCAACAGTCACAATATACTTCTTTCAACATAATGATGTCACATTGTTACCATGGCCACCAAGAACTCCCGACTTATCCCCAATTGAGCACGTGTGGTATATGATGGGTAGGAGATTGCTCAATTTGCAACGTCCTCCTCAGACTCTAGAAGCACTTCGAGAGGAGTTGGTGGTTGCCTGGAATGAGATACCACAGGAGGACATTGACCACCTGATCAGAAGCATGCCTAGGCGCGTTGGAGAATGCGTAGCACATCAGGGTGCATCCACACATTATTAAAGGTCAAAGGGCTTTTTATCATTTACTTATTATACTTCATTAAGTACTTATACAAAATTTTATTATAATAAAACCATTTAAACTGGGTGTTCGGATTTATATGTCACTTAGTATACATACGCGCGGTAACCATACAGTAATAAATCAGAGTCCAATTTGGAAATTCCTGCTTTCAACCGCAACGAAAGCTGTCGAAAATCCATTCATATTTATAACTTTTTTCTAGCCGCAAATTACGCAATAGTTAAATAATAGAATATCCTTTGCCAGGAGACAGACCGTCTATGAATATTTTTCGAGCCAGCATGTGCGTGAACGGAATGAGCGAAGTGAAAAGTCAAGATCAGGGTCAAGTACGTGACTAATATCAGGCATGGGCTAAGAGCGATTTTGGGAAAGATAATTACTATCTATTTTTACTCGCGTTATACATACAAAGGAATATTCCGATCGCGTGTTTCGTACATCTGTTCGAACTAGAGATGCTGTAAAGGTAATCGTAATTCGTGAATCGTAGGCGGAACTCTTGACGTCTCGATCGTCGAAAGTTACCGAAAAAAACGACGACAAGTAAGTTGACTTTGCACTTCAACCCTACGCTATCATCAGTTCGCATTATGTTTGGCACACGTTAGCCTTTCTCAGAAAAAGGTTAGCCACAAACATGTAAAGGGTGATTTTTTAAGAGGTATAGGATTTGATTGTCAAAAAAAACACAAAAAATTTGAAAAAACGATTAAATCTTTATTTAAAAACAGTGTTGCCAAAAAGATACTAGCAAAAAAATCACCCATTAGATATAAGTTGAGAAGAAAACATGATGGTCGCGATGACCAATCCCGCATAAAGCAGTGCGGAAGCGATTGCCGACTGTGGCGTACAACCACCGATGACGACGCTTGTCCATCGGGGGACCACGTCTCACATATGGGGACATCTATGACGAGTGAAATATGCCCGGTATCAACGTCAAATAATCGGTTAAGATCGTCTGAAACGACGAATTTTTTTGTTTTGGCCTTTTTCCCGCCGCCACTGGACCGATTTTCAAAAACTAAGAAGCTTTTGCGTCCAGTAACCACTATCAAAATCTATTCACGAATATATAGACTCAATATCAAGGGCAAAACCTTATGGAATTGGTAGACATTAATATGTTAAGCAAATCACATATTTTTTGTAGCGTTGGGTAAATTTGGATACCACGCGCGACAACGCAAGCAATTATTTGCCAAAGAAAACCCATTCTGACAAGGAAATTTACATTTATATCGAATCTAGCTGGATTACAGCAGAACCACTGGCTGAAACCCAAGGCTCGTAATCACCCTTAAGTAAATCGTCTTTCCTAATCTTAGATACAGCTGAAGGGGCAGGGGGGGGGGGCAAAACGCTTTCTCGCACTATAGCATAGTCGCAGTTGACTGTTTACACTTATTTGATATTTATTATCATCACGTAACATTAATAACTACAGGGTGGCCGATATGTAACTGACTGGTTTGTATCTTGAATATTTGTGAAATGAAATTTTTTTCATCTTAATCTTCTATTGAAGCTTAGACATTATTTATGACAAATAAAAACACACAAATGTCCGCCTCTAGAAGCCGTACAAACCTGAGGCCTGTTGATTACAGTTTCCATCACTTTTTGATAGGTTTCGGGAGGAACATTTTCAATCGCTTACGTAAATATTATGTGGTGACCTTGGTAGCCAGATGAAATCACCAAATCGAGAAATTAAACGTCTCGGAAATATTGTTCGCAAAAGATTCATTTTTTTCCCTAGCTGTGTGACAAGTTGCTCCGTCCGTACCGCACTGTTTCTTTAACCTGGAATATCTCATACTCATTTGTGGGCGGAGCTTGCGTATTAGGACTTTTCTAATATGTGTGAATCAACAGTATGAATATTTTTTAAATAAGATATGGCACTATTATTCTGGAATTATTCATTTATTATGATATTTGCATTCACAATGATAACCAGCAGCGCATAACCTAGGAAAAAGTTGTAGTGACAAACGATAAAACCTCATATCCTCTCCTAATGTAAATGTAGTGTAATTAATCAAAACAAGCACAGCTTAAAAAGTTATCCAGCTGCCAACTGACAGGGCTGCATTTCTGTGGAACTAATCGCAGCAGTGTATGCTAAAGTTAGAGCTGGCAACACCGTCCGGGTACCAATTGACTTAAGATAAGTACGGAGTCCAATGTACCATCATAATATACATTTGGACGTCAATTTGAGTACGTTATGTATCGATACCAATTTGACCTCGATGTGAAACAGTATATACACCAGATATACCCTAGGAGTCCATCTAACAAGAACTCGTTACGGATGCCACCTTGGAAGCCAAATATACTCGTATATATATATATATATATAACTTGAGACGTGGTCATTGTCGTCTAGACCAGTTAGGTGAAAAATTAAAGCTTCCGCCTTTTGTTGGGTACTTCGACAAAATTTAAACTTTTTATACTTTTTTATTTCTCTCTAGCTTCCAATGGACTTTGCTATCATCATCAGAAGCTGCAATTACAATGATAACAGTAGCAACAAAAGTGTAAAATGAATTTAAATTGACTCAACTTACAGTAGTATGTGAGGATGTTGCTAATTGTTGTTTACGTATAGGATGAGGGAAATATATATATATGGTCACGACATACCGATATTCAAGGGGGGTATTTTTCAGCTATTTTTATCGACAAATCCACCCCCCTACAATGTCCTAACTCACCGCTCTTGAAATGGCATCCATTTTTATTTTTACGTTACGATTACGCTAGTGCATGTATGAAAATTGTAATAACTGAGTACGTAAGTGTCACAGAACGATAAATTTGGTGTCAATTGAACAATAGCATGTTGTTCTAGCGATTGTTGTAAAACTTGTATTGATACTAACTGTCAAACATACTTAAAAACAGACAAAATCTGAAAAAAAATATTCAAGAAAATTGATTATTTTGTGCATTTCCGCACACCCTTCAAAAATTAGTTTGTGAAGTTGTACTATTTTAGTGCTGATTCTACAGCTAACTATGTTATCTACATATATATATATATATGTGCGTATAAAGTAGGAAAATAATGGGCAAAATCCGCAAAAATGAGGAAAGTGGTTTCGAGCAGAAAATAGGATAGGTAACCCGAGCGATACGTATTTCTGCTGGTTGGCTTCATCAGGCCCGAAATGAATGCACATATGCACCTACAAAAGTGGATACACATGCCCACACATCCGGATACAGTTATAACCTGAGGAAATGAAGATGGAGTGGCAAGAGCCAACCTACACATTGTAGTATAAAATGGCTAGAAGTTTTCGAATTTTCAATATATATATATATATATGAATACTATATATATATATATATATATATATATATATAGTATTCATAGTTAATTGCCTTAACAGTTAGGAGAAGTTATCCTTTAATTTTTTTGGGTGGAAGGCAACGTATTGCAAAAGTACACTCTTATAACTTAAACTCTCAAGCTTTCGAAGATCTGTGTCTTCATCGTCTGGAGCTAAAAATAATTACTGACAATAGCAACAAATAAGAATTAGGACAAACATTTTTACTTACTAAGTCGGCGAGATTGGTGCTGAAATTGTTTTTAAACAACAGTGAAGGCAACACATAGTCGACGAATAAAAAACTGGCCTGATGAGGTTCGGTTAGGACGGAATGATTTGCCATTTAATAATAAAATAATTCCGTCCTAATCGATCCTGATCAGTCCAGTTTTTTATTCGTCGACTATGTGTTCCCTTCACTGTTGTTTAAAAACAATTTCAGCAACAATTACTTAGTAAGTAAATATTTTTCTCCTAATTGCTATTTGTTGCTATTGTCAATAATTGTTTTCAGCTCCAGACGATGAAGACATAGATCTTGGAAAGCTTGAGAGTTTAAGTTATAAGAGTGTCCTTTTGCAATACTTTTTTCTACCCAAAGATATTAAAGGATATCTTCTATATATATACGTATATATAATATATATATATACTCGTATATTGTTCTGTATTATAGTACACTGAGACTGATATAGTGTTATTTTTATATTGCTGTAGCTTCTGATTTTGGTTGTATATTTACTGATATTTGAGTGAGCCATGCTCACGAGGTAAAATATTCCTATTGTTCTTAAATAACATTTTAATTGCCTTACTCACCAGTTGAGTGAGGACGAGGAATATTTTACCTGCGGGTCCTTATTTTTTTACAGGTAATCTGACTACTTTAACCTCAAGTGAAATGAACCAATCTTCTTGTGTTATATCCGAGGATTATATAGTTTATGACCAGTTTCATCCTGTACGTAACAAATGTTTCCCAACCAGACTACTAATGTCAGATAGAGAAGGGGGGTAAATGAGAAGACTATCCTCGGCAAATCGCGTCACTAAATCTTCCCTAATTAACACAAGTTCTGCCGGGGAGAGGGCACGGTTTGGGGTGAAGAGTATGGGGGGGGGGGAGCTCGCACAAACAACTCTACGTTTCGGAACTCTCCCCGGAACCTAATCTATTACCAATTATCTTTAAAAGGTTGCTCTAATTTATCTTCAACTTCTGCGCGCCCCGCCAGCCGAGGATGGTATACAGGGCGATGGAAATTGGTGAATTCATCCGGCAGATTTGAGAAGAAAGCCATACGTATACGCAAATAGATAAAATAAATACTTTATTGTGGCTTGGGGGCATCCGATCGTTTTGAAAACGTCAAAATTGTTAGTGATATACGTGAAAGTGAATAAATTGTTCCAGGAGTTCCCCAGGGCTCAATTACAGGGCCTCTACGTTTCATAATTTAGACTTCTTTGTCACAACGTTCAATGGCTGCTCATTCAGATGATACCCAGTTGATCCACCACTTTATTCCGGAACACTCATCAAAGAATTAATAAATGAAGATATAGAAAGTGTTGGCAGATATGCTACTAATGACAACTTATAATACAATAAGGTAGTAAGAGTTGATCCGTTTAAAGTATACAGGGTGTTTCAGTTTATTGTTGCATAACTTTAATATTCGATAGAACTTTTAAAATTAATGCATAAGGTCTATATAAACATGGGTCGAAAAATGCGTGGCTTCCGAAATACAGGGTGTTTAAATTTACTTTCTAAAATAGTTTTTTTTTAATATTTCGAACAATATTTAATGTATAACAGTGAAAACTGGTATACAAGGGTTTTTTTGGTACGACAAAACGAACCATGGGCATAGTTTTACTGTAGCCGCTAGAGGGCGCTCTCTACTGTACCTGTAGTGACCAAAAATTTTTTCTTAGTGCAATTTTTTGCTTTTTGAATAAAAAAACTGATTCTTCGCACTTTTCAACATAAAAAAGCTCTCCTGTGAGTCTTCGTTATATTTAGCCGTTATTGAGATATTTCGATTTTTAAGGTTCGATGCATTTTTAATTATTTATGGGAAAATAATATTTTTTTTTTACATTTTCGATTTGGGCATTACAAGCAATTAAGATGATCGTTTAGATTGTGTTTTTAAACACAGCAATAATTCCTAACTCCAAATAAACACAAAAAAACAGAATGTTAATTTGTTTAATTTTCCAATATTATTTTTAACAAATTAAATTAATTATTTACAACTAAAATGTTATTGAATAGTTAGGACAAACATACAAAATCTAAAGTAGTTGCTCGAAATGTAAACCCAATTGTTCAATACACAATTCACATCTACGAATGATCGAACGTGGTATAGCCTTATTCAAATAAGGCCTTATTTCATCACATGCATTCCTGATTCTGTCTATTAGCATAACTCTTGTGGTTACGGGAGTCTGGTACACTTTTTCTTTTAGAAATCCCCACACAAAGAAATCTAATGGATTTAGGTCAGGGGATCGTGGAGGCCAGGCGACTGGTCCTCCACGGCCGATCCATCTTTCTGGATAATTTTCGTCCAGCCAGTTTCTAACTATTCTCGAATAATGAGCTGGACAACCATCAAGCTGGAACCAGGCCAATCTTCTTACATCTAACATAACATCATCCCACATATTTGCATGTTCAGCCTTTAAAAATTCCAAGAAAATCGCAGCATTTAACCTTGCAGGCAAAAGGTAAGGTCCAAATAGTCGATTACGGTAGATACCAATCCACACGTTCACACTAAATTCATGCTGAAAATTTCGTTCCCGAACTGCATGCGGATTTTCATGCGACCAAATATGTTGATTATGAAAATTTACCACTCCACGTCTAGTGAAGCATGACTTATCGGTCCATAAAACGTTACTTAAAAACTCCCTATTATTATCAGTT